AATGAATAGTCAGGACTGATTTCCTTTAGGATGGCCTGGTTGGATCTCCTTGCAGTCCAAGGGACTCTCAAGTGTCTTCTCCAATACCACAGTTCAAAAGCATCAATCTTTTGGCGCTCAGCTTTATTTATAGTCCAACTCTCACATCCATACATTACTGGAAAAACCATAGCTTTGACTAGACAGACCTTTGTAGGCAAAGTAATGTCTCTGCTTTTTAATATGCTGTCTAGCTTTTCTTCCAAGGAGCAAGCATCTTTTAATTTCATGGCTGCAGTCACCACCATCTGCAGTGATTTTGGAGCCCCCCAAAAGTCTGTCACTGTTTCCATGGTTTCCCCATCTATTTGCCATGAAGTGTTGGGACTGGATGCCATGATCTTAGTTTTCTGAACCTTGACTTTTAAGCCAACTTTTTCACTCTCCTCTTCCACTTTCATCAAGAGGCTCTTTAGTTCTTCTTCGCTTTCTGCCATAAGGGTGGTGTCATCTGCATATCTGAGGTTATTGATATTTCTCCCAGCAATCTTGATTCTAGCTTGTACTTCTTCCAGACTAGTGTTTCTCATGATGTACTCTGCATGTAAGTTTATATAAGCAGGGTGACAATATATAGTCTTGACTTCTTTCCCGATTTGGAACCAGTCCCCGTTGTTCCATGTCCAGTTCTAACTGTTGCTTCCTGACCTGCATACAGATTTCTCAGGAGGCAGTTCACGTGGTCTGGTATTCCCATCTCTTTATTTTGATTTTAATACAAATTAAAATCTTAGTGAGACAGCACTACACTCTGATTAGAATGGGTAAAATTTAAAAGGCTAATCATACCAAGTATTGGAGTGGATGTAGAAGAACTCGAACTCATACACTGCTGGTGTGAATGCAAATGCACAACCACCTTGGAGGAGTTTGGAAGTTTCTTCAAAAGTTAAAATCACACCTACATGAAGACCCAGCCATCTTACTCCTAGTTATCTGCCCAAAGGAAAAGAAATACGTATCTGTAACAGACTTGTACATCAACGTTCCTGGCATCTTTTTTGTAACAGTCCCAACTGGAAATAACATACTGTTGGTAAAGAAGGTGAGGGGGAGTGACTCTCATAATTTCTGGTGTAGTACAAATTATAATTCCTATAAAAATTACAAATCCCATCAAACTTAAATTATCCTACACACCAAGCTGTGTATGTGTAAAATGATGTATGTACAAGGTTACCCATATAGCTCTGTCTATAACAGCAAAAGGATGGAAACTGTTCAAGTGTCTCTCAATTAGGGAAATACATTAAAAAAAAAAAAAGATGCTAAACGCCCTATATTAGTTTGCAGGGGCTGCCAAAACAATATTACAAGGGTGACTGAAACAAAATAAATTTATTTTCTTACAATTCTGGAGGCTAGAAATCCAAGATCAAACTTATTAGCAGGTTTGTTTTTCCTGAGGCCTCTGTCTTTGACTTTGTAGATGGCTACCTTCTTTGTTACTGCATTTTGTACTAGATGAAAACACTGTTTTTCTAAAGTTACAAAACAGAATGAATTCAACTCATCCTAAAATACCATCAACTGTGAAAAGCAATAGACCATGTGAAATTAGCACCTCCCTCCACTACATCCTAAAGCATTAATACAGTATCATTACAGACACTTCTTCTGGTTATAGGACTAAGACCAAAAAGGAAAGAGACACATATTAGGGATAATCATATGCAGTGAAAAGAAAAAAAATTCCGTGATACCTTTCAAAATATAGGTTTAAAAAGCTTAGGAAAAAAGACTGAAATTTACTTAAGAAAAAGTAGAAAAGTTTGACTTCAAACTAAAGAAAAGAAAAAATTCATCAAGTATCTCTCCAAAGAAGATTCATACTGAGATAGTTATATAGGTATTAATGCTATTTTAAAAGGTACATTTCTGTGAAAAATAAAGGAATGTGCACCACTGAAAACTGACACCAGAACCCGGACACCCCATCTGACTGTGGGGACTCTTGCTGTCCTGCCTTTATATGCTTCATGTGGCCTCTTCATTGACTCTGAGCACCTGGGGCTGTATTAGTTGACTGAATTTGGCAGAAAATGGTGCTAGTTCACTACCAGGCCTAGTCGTTCAGAAAACTAGCAGCACACACATCCACCTTCTTAACCTTGCAGGGTCCCAAGCTGCCAGGTAAGAAGCCCAATCAGCTCCATGGATAGAACCTCGCAAGAGGCCCACACGGAGACCAGAGGCCAAGCCACACGAGTCAGGTCACCAGAGGAATGCAACTCCATCAGGGACCCCAAGCAAGAGCTGCAGAACCTCCCAGCTGAGCCCAGCAAACCTGCAGAACTGCGAAAGTCAAGAGTGGTGTGGTTTAAAGCCATTGTGTTTGGATAGCTGTTTCATAGGAACAGATGGCTGAAAACACCAACAAAGCAGACACATATGTGAATACATACACATCCATCCCCTCTTGCTAAGCACTATAAAACAGCATCACTCAAAGTTGCAAAATTTCACAATAAAATAACAGCAAATCAAATCTTGCAGTTCAATGAATGGTTAACACACCATGGCCAAGAAGAATTACAAATGGACTGTAAGATGGTGCAAAAGTTACATATATGTAATCCATAACTTTAGGGAGTTAAGTGAGAAACCATATATGATCATCACTCAAGTTCCGAAAGTGCACTTGGAAAAAATAATGTTTGTTAATTACCACCGTTTTACTATTGTTTTTTTTTTTTACTACGGTTTTAAATGTATTTTGAAGTTTCAGGTTGCACGGAGGAAGGCCACAAGTCTTGTGAGTTTTTCCTGGAGAAGTATGGGGTGGAGAGATGAAGAAGACTGTGTCATTCAGGTAGAGTTAGGAAAAGGATAAGCTGCCAGCTATTACCAGCAGTAGTCAACATTTTCCTGAAAGTTCCAGATGACAAAATCAATGTGAAAAAGAAATAACTTTATATAGGAAAGTGGCCAAGTCATCATAATTTACTGCTTTTTAATATTATCATCCAAAACCTGTTAGAAAATATAACAGAAAAGAAGATTCCATTCACATGAGGAACAAAAACTGGAAAGTATTTCATTGGAAAAACACCTGAAATGGGAATGTACTTTATATCCGTAATCAGTTAACACTGGACACACTGGATGGTGCCATTCAGTAGGTAAAATAGGAACTTACTTTCATTTTCTACATTGTATGTTTCCTTTTATCTTTTTAATTGTGCACTTATTACCCTTAAATAAAAAAACATGCATTTTAAAATTCTAGCCACAACTCTATAGGACCAATCAACATAAATCAATAAAACCTACAAAACTTTAATTTTTCAACCAGTATACATTTACTTCAAGTAAGAAACATAATTATTTTATTTTGGGAATGAATCAGAAAAGTACATCATATGGTTTATATACAGAAATGATGCTGGGCTGGCAACAGGGCAGTGGCTTCTACTGCAGGTTCCTCCTCACAGCTGACTCACATGAACTCTGGGCTCACCTGCATGTGGTTCCACATGCTTGGAAGAACAGAATGCAAGGGAAGTGACCACTGACCTACAGTTAACACATCATCCATCCCATTCACTAGGGAAATTTTCCTTATTGTTTATTGGCAGAGATTCAGATGAAAATCTGATCTGGCTATGAATCTATCGAAGGAATTATTTTAGGGCTCTGTGCTTTCAATGCCCAGGGCACAGGTTCAATCTCTGGTCGGGAAACAGATCCTATGAACCGCACAGCCTGGAAAAGAATCTGCCAAGGGCCACTTGGTGACTAAGTATTAATACGTGTGTTGTGAAAATATGCAGATCCACACCTTAGGTAGAGGCTCTCATAGCTTGACTACTTGAGTAGAATTTTGGCCAGAAACATTCCCGTTTAAGAAATATACTGCAGAGAGTGCCAGGTACTGGGCTTATCTGTATTTTAAACTTGAATGTCTCTGAGATTACTGGGCTGGTCATGGAGGGGACTGGTGGAGAAAGGCCATTGACCAGCAGGTAGGACCACCTGGTGCCTCTCCGCCTATCATTTTATTGGGCAGTAGAAATTGCCCTCCACTTAGCCCATCAGCTCTTCATGTGACTTCCTGGTCAACGTGACTCTTGGGGGGAAATTGCACAAAATTCCTTTCCTAGCCCCAATCTCAACTTCCCTTTCCAAAATGGATATCCTGCGACACAAGCTTGCAGACAGGCACGAGCAAGACCAGCCAACTCTGCTGGAAATGGGCAAAATCCATTGTGTGCTTTAAAGACCACCAGCTCCACCTGCCTGTGTGATCTGGAAACACAGACTTCAGAAAGTCAGCTCCCTGGCTTGCACAGGCACACTTCCAGCAACAGTACAAGAGGCCCAGGGACATAAGACCTCCCTGTACATCCAGGTGAGACTCTCCCTCAAGGTTTAAAAGAGATGAACATGTAACGAATGTTTACTTTCATGAAACTAAAACACATGATAGTATTTTGGGAATTGTAGAAACGTTATGATTACGGATACAACTTACTACACAAAGGGTAGAATCCTGGACAATAGAAAATCAAACCTCTCGCATATTGTGAAGACAGAATGAGAAGATGGCAGTATATGAGCCGGGAAGCATTCTCTTAGGCACAGCATCTGCTAGAACCCTGATCGTAGACTTCGCTCTGGAGCTGTGGACAGCAGGGTGGATGTCTGTGGAGTCTCTGTACGGCCAGAGTGCAAATTCTCTTTTGAGAACCGATACTTCAAAGTACAAACATACAACATAGATTCACAAATATGTTTACCATGGAAGGTAATGGAATTATATTCAGAAATGAAATAAAAGAGAAACTAACATCCAAATGAAAAGAAAAAAACAAACCATACTCCTCCACCAAGCATTCCTGGTTAAAGAATGTCTCAATTTTAGAACCAAAAAGCAGTGGGCCTTGGGGAGGTGGAGAAGTGACCTTGGTTGGGTGCAGTCTCACACCAGGAGGGAGTCTCAGCAGCCATCTGGCCAGGGGTCATGACAGCACGTGCTCCAGAATGCCTTGTCTAATCAGCTGCTCGCACTTCCACCGAGGTAAAAAGTGCTGAGGGGAGGGGGGGAAGAGAGAGGAGTGAAGAGTGTTATTTCAAGTTACATGTGTCATTAAAAAGCAGCAATGAATGCTGAATATTTCAAACTGTACCAGTGAAGTAGTTAAAAGCTAAGCTTAAGTATATTTGCTATTTTCATCAATTGAAATTGATGTTACTTAGAGCTGTACTAAAATCTGAATTTTTTTAAACAAATTCATACTTTGCTTAAGTTAAATTTAAACTAAAGACTTCTGAATTCTAGTAGGTATTTTCCTCAGTGTTTGCATTTTTAGATTTATGCACAGGAAAGCCAGGTAGGTGATCTGGGCCACAGACCATAGGGATGTGGTAACAGTTCACCAAGAAGGCAAATGGAAGGAGTGTCTTCTCCACTAAACCTCTTCAAGGATCTATGCCTGAACAGTCATTCCACTACTAAGAGTGCAACTCTTCTCCCGGATTTTTCAAGGATGAAAAGTCTTCGTAACCCATGGATGCTGGCCATCTGCTGTGTGTGAGGAAGGTGGTGCCCAGCTAAGGCTCATCCTCCATGTCTCCAGAGAGCACACTGCTCTCATTCTGAGGTGGAACGGCATCTCCTGGTCTCATTCCCTCCCAAACAGCAAGGCTTAACACAGAAGGGAACATTTACTAAATTCTGGAGTGGGGAGGTGCAGGCAGTCAGGCAGGAAGACTTTTCAAGCTCACAGGTGACCAAAGGAATCTCAAAGACTAGACAGACATAGATACTTCAGTAAAAATGAAAAACTGCATTACGAAGTGCAGCGCAGAGAACTCTAGAAGGTGAACTGAAGGAGAGAGCGCGGCAAGCACTCAAGGAACCAGAAGCCACTTCAGCAGCACCGTGCACCTGACAGTGTTTCACAAACTCAAGGCCTCGCGTGGGACCCACAACCAAAGAAACTCCTGCCCACCAGTCATGAAGACCCATGGGCCAAGGACTGATGTCTGACTTAACTGAATTAAGTCTTACAACTATGAAATGTAAAAAAAAAAAAGGAAAAAAAACGATGGAGTTGTTCATTGAACAGTTATTCTAATGTCTACTAAAGACACTTGTTCTCATTTCTGGGCAATGAGAAACATGCCCTGTAGAGTCAAGAATAAAGGACTGTGTGGTTGGAAAATGTTTCCCTATTAATATTTCACATTATGTGGGTGATCTATAACACAGATTTTATAGAAAACTTATTTCTGATGTGCTCAGGCATGTTAGAAGCCTCTTAATGTCCACGACAGTAGCTGATGCTTTTAAGTTACCCCAGTTTTATAGAGTGATACTGAGAGACAAAAGTCTCATCAAGAGGAAGGCTTCTGCCCACAAACCCTAGGGTCCACATGCCACAGAGCCCACTCCTCACAACTACCAAACTTGCGTGCTGCCACAATGGAAGCCTGTGCACCTAGAGCCTGTGGGGAGCAGGCAGTCTGACTGCACCCATAATCTCTACATGATGTTTAAGGGTCAACGGTATCAGCCCTTTCTTACTATATGCAACATTTGCTTCAAGTCTTTAGAAAAAGAATAAAAGGATATTTTATGATAAACTTAATGCCTATGACACAAATGATCATGGCAAGGTGATATTTATTTAGCTACTGACTCCAACATCTCCATCATTCAGCACTCTTACAAAATTTAAAGTATCCTAAGACAGTAAATACCTGGCTATTTTTTTTTAATAGCACTGAAGTACCATCCTCAACTTCAAATTCTCCGTAGTCTTTTAGACACCGCACCTGAAAAGAAAAACTGATGTTTTATAACATCTAAATTATTTTTTATTATGAAGTAACCGTCAAGTAGCTGGGGGCTGTACATGTACCTACAGGGAAGTATCAGGCTCTGTGGGCTTCTTCTCTGTGTAGTTAGGCTTAGTGTTCCTTACTGAGGCATACTAGAGGTTCCAGTGGCCATTAGTTCCAATGTCCACTGATGGGGAGGAGGAAAAATGGCAAATCTCTGAATATATGTGTAGGTCAGCACCGACAGCAAGGAAACTGAAAGAGCTGCCAAAGAGAGTTTTGGGTTGGATTTTCACTTTGATTTCACTTTGTTTTAACAATATGTAAAATACTTACATGGTTCTAAAGTTAAAACTTTTAAAAAACAGGTACAGCCAAAAATTTTTAGCTGTTCACTCCTATTCGCACCACCACCTACAGGTAAAAGTTTTGGCTTGGGTTTATGTTTCCTCTCATTTGTTTTTTGCTTTACTGTGCTTCTCATATTGATTTTTTTTTTTTTTTTTTTTTTACAAACTGAAGATTTGTGTCAACCCTGCGTTGTCAGATGACAGGATTTTTTAGCAATAAAATATGTATATAATGCTAACACATACTCAATAGACTAGTGTAAGCATAACTTTTACATGCACTGGGAAACCAAAAGATTTATGTGACATGTTTAAGTGAATATTCGCTTCATTGTGAGTCAGAAACCAAACCTATGGTGTCACCAAGGTGTCTATATACAGCAGTATATAGGCATATACCCACTCCCTTGGACAAAAGTCAGCACACTCTGTGCATCAAAGAAACACTCATTTTTTTTTAAAGGTATACTTACTTCTATATATAGGCTTTTTGGAGGTTTCATATCTTGTGTGATGTCCAAACCTTCGTCTCCTCCCAATGACCTCATGTAGGTAGCAAGGGACTTTTTATAACGATTGAACCAGTCCATCTGGAAACATAAAGATGGCCATTTGACAAAGCTGTAAGAAAATAAACTTGCAGAAACTGTACACTAAACCTTTCAAAAACAGCACACATGCCCACATGCATCTTTACAATGACCACTCATTCAAACCACAAATATTATTGATTGCCTATTATGAACCAGGCACTGGTACCTAGAACAGTAGGTATTGGTCATTCTGCATATTGGTACCTAAAAACGCAGAATGATATACCACTTTCAAGGACTGGACAATTCAATATTATAATAATGTTAACTGATCTATAGATCCAAGTCATTCTCGATCAAAACTCCAATTGTTGAAAAAAATCGAACTTGACAAAGGAGTCTGAAATTTGCATGGAAATGCAAAAAGCCAAAAATAGTTAAGACACTTGAAAAAAGAAGATCAAAATGGGAAAACTTAAGAAGTATTACAAAATTACAGCCATTTAAGCAATTTGAAATTGGTACAAGGACAAATAGACTAAGACAAAAGAAAGCCCCCCCAGAGACATGGGACTTAGCTCGTACATTATTCACAAAAATCTATTCCAGTACTGCAGATCTTTGTGAAAGATAAAACAAGGTAACTCCGAAAAGACTGTACAGAGAAACATCTTCATATCCTTCACCAGTAAAGTGTGTGCGTGCATACATACACACGTACACCCCTCCCTCAGGTTTAATACTCTGCCAGAACGACTCACAGGACCCAGGAAAGCACTGTCCTGACAGTCACTGTTGTACTGTAGTGAAAGGAATACAAATTAGAACCAGCCAAAGGAAGAGACAGCCAGGGTGAGGTCTGGGAGGGTCCCAAATGTGAAGCTTTGATTTCCTCTCCCTGAGGGATCAGGACACACCACCCTCTCGGCACACTGATGTGGAACAACGCACATGGGTCGTGTCAGCCAGGGAAGCTCCCACAACTCCAGAGTGTCATGACACAGGCTGCACTGATTGATCAAACCATGACGGACTGAATCACAGATGACGGAGCCCTCCTTCTAGCTCCCCTCTCCTCTCTGCAATGATATCAAGAGGCTAAAAGCCTCAAACCTGAGGGGAGAGAGGAAACCTCTGAATTTGTAGCCAGTTGGTCAGAAGGGAGAGTGGCCCTGGGAACCCCCAATCCATGGCTGGTGTCTGAAGTGAGGGCAGTCTTAACCTATGAAGTTTGGTCTAACTAGGTAGTTGGTGTCTGAAGTCACTGCAGCAGGTGCTATGACCTTCACTTTGTAAATGAGGGGATTTAGGCACATGGAGGGATAGTTGCCTGCCTAGGATCTCTCAGAAGCAGAGCCAAGGTTTCTACACGAGTTTGCTTGCCTTCAATCCTGTGTCCTTAAATACTGTGCCTCAGTGACTGGATAAATCAAGAATTCATCACACATTCAAAGATAAGCAGAGTATGTGTGTGCGTGCTGAGTCTCTTCAGCCATGTCCAATTCTCTGCAACCCTATGGACTGTAGCCTGCCAAGGTCCCCCGTCCATGGGATCATCCAGGCAAGAATACTGGAGTGGGTTGCCAAGCCCTCCTCCAGGGGATCTTCCCGACCCAAGGATCGAACTCACATCACTTATGTCTCCTGCACTGGCAGGCAAGCTCTTTACCACAAGCGCCACCTGGGAAGCCTAAAGCAAAGCATGTACACACATATTTTATGAAGAACTTCCAAATAATAATGCCAGTTTTGAATCCTACTGATGCATCACTAGCAGCTAACATAACGGGACCCTTTATTTTGTTAAGTAATAGTAGTTTTCCATACAGCATTTAGAATTACTCCTACCATTCTCAAACAGACCAAAAACTACTGAAGAGCAAATGTTAAAACAAAAAGACAAGTACTATAAATACTATTACAAAAGAATGCCATGGGGCTTCCCTCATAGCTCAGTTGGTAAACAATCTGCCTGCAATGCAGGAGACCTGGCTTCAATCCATGGGTTGGGAAGGCCCCCTGGAGAAGGAACTGGCAACCCACTCCAGTATTCTTGCATAGAGAATCCTCATGGACAGAGGAATCTGGCAGGCTACAGTCCATGGGATTGCAAGAGTCGGACATGACTTAGCGACTAAACCACCACCACCACAAACAATGCCAGAAGCTCAGCCAGTTTCTGAATTTACAAATTTGAACAAGAGTGCTAACTTACTTCTTCAGCAGACATGTGAAATCGTAAAGCACTTGGCAAGACACTGCCATATTCCCACCTGAGTGCTCTAATCCGGAGCAGCCGGTCATACCTAGAACATCAATATGGTATTGGATCAGAAGTTGTCTTGATCAGGAGAGACTCAAGACTCAACCACCAGAAGGTAACATGTGGACTTTGATTTGATTCCAGAGGCAAACAAACCACTGTAAGACGACACCTTTGGGACAACATGGAAAATAGGAACAGACTGGATGGATGCTGTGAAGGTATGTTCACTGCTCCAGGTATGAGAACTATACAGTGGTCATGTGAGAAAAGGCCCCAAAGGCCCTTATTTCTTAAAGATGCATACGAAACTATTCAGTGGTAAAATGTCTAATGTTTAGCATAAAAAAAGATGAAGCAATTATGGCAAAATGTTAAGAACTGTTTGACCTATATGATGGCTCCACGGGGGGTTGTAATATTATTCCCTAGTTTTAAGAATACTGTCATTTTCCATAATAAAAAATGTTCAAGTAAAAAAAAAGAGAAACTTCAGAATGCTCATGAAAGAGAGACAACTCGAAGAATTTCTGACACCCACTGGGATGGGAACCTCCCACGCTCCCCGCCACCCCGCAGACAGAGATGCTCACAGGTAGGCTACAGCACAGCGCCGATTTCTCAGCAAAGAACAGTGTCGAAACTTGATGGTTGGTATCAGATCACCTCGTCCACTTGACTTTGCTTCATTCCTGGTAAAACATTTCAGGAAAAGAATGTCTATTGAGTACAGGTTAAATTTTCAAAGTCAGCTAACCACTGACTCCATACTTGTTTTTAGCAATTTATGTTAGTAGTTAACCTACCTAAATAGTACCTGCCTCCACATCAGAGCTTTTGCTAACAGAATAAAATAGAAAAGAGCCAGGGAATTCCCTGGTGGTCCAGTGGTTAAGACACTGCACTTTCATTGCCGAGGGCACAGGTTCAATCTCTGGTCAGGGAACTAAGATCCTGCAAGCTGTGTGGACAAACTTAAATTCTTTTAAAAAAAACTTAAAAACACCTAACTAATTTGCCTAGGATCACACTCCCATTGCTTTGTTTAGCCATGTGGCACACTGCGTTTTGCACACTGGTTAATACCCATTGTCTCCAAATGACAACATTTTGCCTCACTAAAAAGAATCCCTTTTTCATGCTGGGACAAGAGATCAAATATCATGGGGCATAAGATTATGGCCACACCTCATGTTCTCATCCTACGGAGTCCTCTTTCTATGGTATCAATACTTCCAAATCCTCATTCTCATAGAGTGAGCTAAGGACTCTAAAGTCAAATGCTCCTCCAACTCATTCAAGGAATAGTTCTTGATCTTCAACTGTGTTTGCACTTTAGGGTCCTTCACACAAAGAGGGAGAAAATTTTGGCTTTACCTTATAAAATATATGTCTCCTTAGATATTAGACAAGTATCAACTTTTCCAATCACATGTACAATTGTTTACTGGGTATGGTATTTCAGTTATGTAAAATGAAGAGTTCTGGAGAAGGTGGTGGTGGTGATGGCGATATGACATTATAAATGTTTTGAATACACTCAACAGTATGTGTGCTCAGTCACTTAGTAGTGTCCGTCTTTCTGACGCCATGGATTGTAGCCTGCCAGGCTCCTCTGTCCGTGGAATTTTCCAGGCAAGAAAACCGGGGTGGGTTGCCATTTCCTTCTCGAGGGGATCTTCCCGACCCAGGGATTAATGCACATCTCCTGCACTGGCAGGCAGATTCTTTACCACTGAGCTATCACTGGTGTGTATCTTAACCACAATTGAAAAAAAAAGAGGAAAACAAAACAAAACCATATGTATAGAACTAATCAGTATCTACTATGGAGTTTTAAAAGGCAACAGAGAAATACAAAATGTTTGTGCCTGCTATAGGCCCTGAAAATAAAGGCAAAATATATTTCCCATGTCTTCTAGATCTGTACCATGTACGTAGAGGTACCACGTCTTCTAGATCTCTTCCAGACACTCCTGCCACTCTACAAATGTTAGATTTATTCTCCACATTGTTTATAATGTGCTCTTGATTATAATGAAATAGCACAAATAAAACACACCCAACTTAACATCAAAGTACTTGATTATACCCAAGAACTTCCTTAAAAAATTCACATTTCCATGTGAGCAATTAAATAGGAATAGATTTCTTCTGACAAAGAATTTTAACCAGAAACTGGTAATAGTGACTGTCCTGCCCAGAACCAAACTAGGAGGATAGGGCACATGGATCCTGAATTTCCCAATGGTATGAATACAGGAAAATCATTCCTTTACTTGACCAAGGCCTGTTCAGTTACCTCCTAAATAGGTCTGTAACCTGTTCTCTTTGCCCCTAGTCTGGCTCACCCTTCCTGTCACCTGCATGACCACCATATTCCCTCAGTCCCACCATCCACTATCCACATGGCAGCCGTGAGAACACAAACGTGCCACCACCTCCCCCACATGCTTAAAAATCTCATCTGATTGTGGCCCTTTGCCTGCTCACTAAGTTTCAGCCACACTGGCCTTTGGTAATGATCAGGTCCCTGAGCATCCCGCCCTCTTTCATGCCTCAGGGCCTTTGCACATGCTATTTCCTCCAATTAGAAATGCTCTGTGCCCACAATTACTTCCTCGCTAAAACCTACTTCTTCAGGCTCCAGCTGAAGTGTCTCTTCCTCAGAGACAATTTCCAGGATTTCTCAATCAACTCATATTTTCAGTGTATTACTCTCTCTCCGAGTGCTGTGTTTCCCTTCACAGTAGGTAGTCTGACCTGGTTTACCTGCATTGAACATGTGTCTTCTGCCTGACACTGAGGGCCATGGGGGCAAACCTCTTGATTCTGCTGTTTACAATTGAAACACCAGAGCCCTTCTTCAGCTCGTGTCTAGTGCATACCTGTTGCATGAACAAATGAATGACTTGGGAACCTGAGTTCAGGACTTTCCATTTCCCTTACTGCAGACCTCTTGCACATCAGTTCCTCGTCCATCGGTATCTATCCTCAAACACCATCACTGCAAAGTGTTCTGTGAGCTCCACAAACCCTAACAACACTACTGATTTCTATGTCCAACGAACTGATGAAAACACTACCTAACAAAGGCCAAGGATGAAATCTCATGTGCAGACAGACTTCTCTCCTGGTTGAGCTCTCAATAACTCATTTTTCCTCCAGCAGTCAGTACTCTTGCGTCTTATTCTTCACCCAGTCACCGGATCCTCTGAAGTCTGTTGTTCACCCCAGATCCTCCACTGTGCCAACTACCATGCTTGGCTCTAAATACTATGAAACTCCAGAACCCTCTAACTTACCAAGCTGTATCGTCCTGCAGCACAAGTTCCCAGTGAACTTCACTTAAGCTTTTGGAAGTCACTGCTACTCCTGCTCAGTTTGCAAATTGCCTGTTCTCCCTTTAAACCACTAAGGCCTCACCTGATGGAAACAATACACTTCACTCGTTATGTCTGTTACTTGTTCCTGTCTCACCTCTTTTGGATCCACCCTAAATCCTTTCAAGTCATACAAGTCAAACAATAAGTATTTATCGAACACTTACCATGTGCCAAGCGCTACTCAGTCCCTATAGACATAACAATCATGAACACAAATCATTCTACTTCTGTATAGCCAGGGCATGATCAGGGTCGCAGAGAATTAAGAAAACCAAATCATATCTAAAAACTAATATTAAGATGATCTGACTTCAACATTGTACTTCTTAAATTGTTTTAAAATATCAAGCTTACCAACTTACACATCAGATTGGTTTTGCTCATATAAAGCTTTCATCTCCTCCAGAACTTGCCTCAGTCCATCTTCCTGGAACATATAAAATTACACTCATTAATTCCCCCACCAAGTTTGTAGCAATACTCTATGCTTATGTACCTTAGGAAAAACCAATAGTCCTTCCACACCTACTAAGACGGCTATAATAACAAGTGTTGGAGAGGATGGGGAGAAACTGGAACCCTTGTACAACACATGTAGGAATGCAAAATGGTACAGCCCTATAGAAAATAGCCATGTGGGTCCACAAAAAGTTAAATTTAGAATTACCATATTATCCAGCAATTCCTCTTCTAGGAATACACTCAAGAAAACTGCAAACCTAAGTTCATACAAAAACTTCTGCACAAATATGCAAGACTAGGATTACTCATAACAGCCAAAAAGTGGAAACAATCCAAAGGTCCAACTGATGAACAGATAAGACAAAATGGTATGTCCATTTGATGGACTATTACTCAGTCAAAAAAAGAAGTGCTGATACATAAAACAACATGAACTTTGAAAACACTGCTTAGTGAAATAAGCCAGACAGAAAAGGACAAATATTGTATGATTCCACTTATCTGAAATGTCTAGAATAGGCATTCATAGAAACAAAGCAGATTAGAGGTTACCAGGCTGAGGGGGAAGAGGAGTGGGGAGTTACTTCTTAAAGGCTACAGAGTTTACTTGGGGTTATGAAAAAGCTTTGGAAATAGGGGTGATGGTTGCATAATAATGGGAATATAATTAATGCCACTGAAGTGTACACACAAAAGTGGTTAGAAATGGCAAAGTTTAAGTTTTGTATCGTTTACCACAATTTAAAAAAAAAAGGAATGAATTGCCAACAAAATACACAATTAACATACTAATTAAGGATAATCTTAAATACACTGTGTTGAGAAGTCAGACAGAGTACATCCTGTATGCTTCTAACTGGCCCCATACAGAGAAGTCTGCAATTCCTGTCATGCTGACTTCAGAAATACAATAAAAAAGACAAATATAATCTGTAGGGGAAAGAAAATCCTTGGTTGCCTAGGGCTGCAGATGGGAGGTAGCCAGTGCCACAAAAGAGAAAAGGGAATCCTTGGGATAGCAGATATCTTGGTTAGGTTGCTGGTTACAAGGATTGTATACATTTGTCAAAACTCAAAGGTCTATTAAAATGTGTACTGTGTTGTATATAAATTATACCTCAATAAAACTAATGACAAAAAACCAATAGTCTACAGAAGTAATAACACATGACAGAAGCATATAAATAACTTATTATTTATTGGAAAAGGATTTTAAAAGGTTACTACGAAAAAAAAAACAAAACCAAAAAACACCTGTACACTGCCAGGATAGAAAACAGAAAGGTCAAAGGCGCTTTTCCGCTATCCACTTGGGCAAATTTCTAAAAAACTTCCCTTGGAGGGATAAAAACATTATATTTATAAAATTCATAAATGTTATACAATGTCTGTCAAAAAGCAACCCCTACACCTGAAACACTGTAAATAAACTATATTTCATTAAAATTAAAAAAAAAAAGAACCCAATAATGCTATAACAATGACAACCAAAAAAAAAAAAACCCTCACAAAACCTCAAAACAATGATAAGCAACCCATCTACTTTTAGAGCTACAATATATGCATTAGCAAAAATGTTTTAGCACTACTGGTATAATTACAAAATTATACTACTTAATCCTGCTTGAATATAAGAAATCATCTCTAATGAAAAATGAAAGCATGACTTCTACTTTCTTTTTCATCAACTGGTTAAAAAGATATGGAAAATTCTGATTTACTAGAATTCAGTTAAATATTCCTTTTATCACAAATATTAAGGAACAGTTGAAACTCTTGCACAATTAGGAGATCAGTAGCTATACAAAAGACAAGAATGAAATAAACTTGTAAAAATACAACCAAATTTTCAGTATATGTGCTGCTGAAGTGAGCACAAGATACAACAAAATTTTCAGATTTAAATTTTTATTTATTGTTTTAAGACTTAGATTTTTAAAATTTACACTGGGAATTGCATCATTTTGTGCTCCCACCTCCAGCTGTAAGCCCCTGGGAACTCAAGATAATTTTCCTAAAGACTCAAATGATTATCATTTCTGCATATCCAAAGTGCATCATTCCAATTTGCCAAACACAGCACCTAACCATGAGGGATTCTGGAATGAACAAGGCAGAGTCCCTGCTCTAAACCAGCTACCATCTGCTGGGGAGGAATGATTCTCGAAAGCATGTGTGGGTCAAGGGTGTGAGGGGTCAATCAGATCAAGATCAGTTCTTAGTCTAACCCAGCTCAGCTGTCCCAGGGGCCAGCCCCTAAAGGTAGGCACTACTGCAAGAAAAGGTGCACCTACACCCTCTAAGACCCAGAAAAGCCAGGATTTTACATTTCTAAGAAACCAACACTTAAAATCCAAGCGAAAAAGACAGCTGGACTAACAGTCTGAAAAGCCAGCCCCTTGGGCAGTGTCTGCCTGTGCCTTTGGGCTCGTTTCTTCCCATGTAACTTAGTTTTCCCACTCTAGTGGGGCCATATTGGAAAGCCTCCATCCCTCTCAAACATCTGGCTTAAAACTCAGCATTAAAAAAATTAAGATCATGGTATCCGGTCCCATCACTTCATGGCAAATAGATGGGGAAAAAATGGAATCAGGGGCAGAATTTATTTTCTTGGGCTCCTAAATCACTGCAGAGGGTGATTGCAGTCATGAAATTAAAAGACCCTTACTCCTTGGAAGAAAAGCTATCACAAGCCTAGACAGCATTTAAAAAGCAGAGATACCACTTTGCAGACAAAGGGTCCTACTGTCAAAGCTACAGTTTTTCCAGTAGTCATGTATGGATATGAGAGCTGGATCATAAAGAAGGCTGAGCACTGAAGAACTGATGCTTTTGAACTTTGGTGTTAGAGAAGACTCTTGACAGTCCCTTGGATAGCAAGGAAATCAAACCAGTCAATCCTAAAGGAAATCAACCTTGAATATTCCTTGGAAGGAATAATGCTGATGCTGAAGCTCCAATACTTTGGCCACCTGATGTAAAGAGCTGATTCACTGGAAAAGACCCTGATGCTGGGAAAAATTGAGGGTAGGACGAAGGAGAAGGGGGCTACAGAGGGTGAAACAGTTGGATGACATCACTGACCCAATGGACATAAATTTGGGCAAAGTCAGGGAGAAAGTGAAGGACAGGGAAGCCTGGCCTGCTGCTGTCTATGGGGTCACAAATACTGGGGCATGACTTATGGACTGAACAACAGCACCAACAACTCCTCTGAGTTCTGTGTCTCCAGTGAACCTCCCGCTGTGGTCTCCTAACTTTTGAGATAAGGTAACTGCCTGAAGTTGCAAGAATAACAGACTGGAATGAAGAAAACTGTTCAAGTTGAGGCTCCGCTTCCAACACGCTGCAAGTTCAGAGGAGCCCTTTAACTTGATCCTTAATTCCAGCAGCTCAGTTTCCCCATCTGTTAAATAACCCAAGTGTCAGCCTAACTGCTCTTGAATGTTCAAAACTCACCTTACCCAGACGCTATTCCGGCTGACCGCCAGATGTTTACTCTGCTACCTGAGTGAAGCCTCCAGAGACGCCGGTCTCTCCACTCCCCGGCGACTCCTCTCACCTCCACCCCCGTTCTCCTACCTACCAGTCCTGTCGTCTTAGGACACGGTGTTCAGGGCCCCCCGACCGGGCTGTGGACCACATCCATCGCTTCTGTGGTCTGTTTATAACCCACTCAGAACCAGTCTTTCTTCTATCCGGTCCATTCCCCAAAGTGCTGCAACAGCTATCAAAACACAGAGTAATCCCGTCGCACCTCTGAAATGCCTTGTAGAGACGAGCAAACCTCCGGGCTCCGGAGCCCGCCCTTCCCCGGCGGGGAGGGGTGTTTGCACGGCCGGCTCTCCGGTGGGGCTACACTCACCGCAGCCCTCAGGGCACGGCCCTAACGCCGGGGCTACCCCGGTTCACACCTCCCCGGTATAACTCACACCTGAGCTCTAGCACCCCGTCTCCTGGTCTCTCTGCGCCTCACCGGGGCCAGACGCCCACCGCCCAGCCCGCGCCGCACAGCAGCTACGAGCACGCCGGGCGGCGGCGGCCGCGAGAAGCGAGGAGAGTGGCGGCAATCCCCGCTCTCGCGGGAAGCCACCAAAACCGACCTGCCCACGACCTTCCCATATCCACGGAGGAGAACCATAGGCACACCCCCATCCCGCTCTGGGTTGTGTAGCCCCAGAGAAGCGCCCTGGGGAGGACCCCGCCCTCACGTTGAAAGCAGGCAGCCTTCCCTCAGCCGCGCGGTGCAGCTCCCGGACCAGCTCCATGGCCTTCTCGCAGAACATGGCCCAGGCGCTGGGCCCTTTGGACCACCGGCTCTCACCCTAACGGCCGCCTCACTCACTGTTCCTATGGCTTTTGCTCCTATAGTTCCCAGGAGCGCAGTGCCGACCCCGCCTCCGCCCCGTTTTGGCGCCAAAATGGCGACCAATAGGAGCGCAGTGCTGGCCTCCGGGCCACGGTGGCCGCCAGGGGACATTTGCCTCCGCGGTGCAGCCGCAGTGCCCCAGGGAGCCTCGCACTGGGGCGGTTGCGGGCCCCGGTCCGGCTTCAGCCCCACCGCTGTCCAGGCCTCGGTCCAAGCTCAGGCTGAGCGGCAGGATAGCTCTCACGCAGCCCAACTCGGGATGGACGCACGCCCGATCTTCCGTTGGATTCAGTCGTTCTCCTTTTGGTCGACAGCGTGTGCACCTTGAGGTCTAGAAGGCAGGTCTGGAAAAGGTGGGCGTTGATGGGACCCCGCGGTGCGTTCTGTTCGGTTTTGCAGTGTGGGTTTTTGTGTTATAACAAAGGGAAAACAACTTTTATTGGGTAGCTCTTGTGTGCTGGACCTAGACTGTGACATTCTTCATGTAATTCTCATGGTTAGCCCGAAAGTGGTTGTTAAGATTCTTGGTGCTGAGTAGGAAATGGAAGTTAAATAACTATTATTGTATGTGAATACACATAGCCGTATTCTCACCTGCATGATAATGTGGATAATTTTCATATCCACACAGAATCAAAAGTGGGAATTACTACTATAGAAACAATTCATATTATTTGGCTTTTTTGGGGGGCTCCGCTGCAAGGCTTACGGCAGCTTAGTTTCTCACCTCTGCCCCTTGCAGTGGAAGTGCAGAGTCCTAACCCCTGGGCCACGGTGACTTTTCTTTTTTTTTAAAGCAATATGACTTGGATTCATTCTATCTAACCCTAGAAAATTTGTTCCTTTTTGGCAAATATAGACACAGTAGATGTGTGATCTGAGAGATGAGCCTGGAAATGGCTCACAGGGTCTCTGAATCTTATCTTTACGTCCAGTGACATTTCTTTCCCAACTCTACAGTAATAGATAATTTAAGGGTTTTTATTAAATACATAATTATATAGTGGACCACCCACCTGCCTTACAGAAGATCCGTGAGAGCCTGGCATGCTCGCCTTGTGTCCCTGCCTCAGTGTTTGAGCTCTTGGGGAGCATGTTGGTTTCCCAGCAAACCTGCTCCTCCCTCCACTTCCTGTCCCATTTTAGGGACCGCCATCTCTCCAGCTTCTCATGCAGAGCTTTGAAGTCACCTCTTATCACCCACAGCCAGTCTACTACCAAAATCTCTCAATGTTCATCCAAAATGTTACACAAAATGGCATCCTTCTCTCCATCTTTGTCTTCACCCCTTAAGACTGAGGCAATAGGCAGCAGCCTCTTACCCATTTTTCTCTCTTTAGTTCTGGCCCAGCTATTCTATTCTCACTGTCAATGGAGTAATCTTTTCACCACATCATTTGGGTACAGCCACTCCTGGTTAAAACCTTTAACTGTTTCCCAACCAGAAAGATCAGCGTCTAAAACCTCAACATGACCTTCTAGGCGGGGACTACATGGAACTTACTCCTCCAGGTTCCTCAGGCCACTCCTCCCTGTGCTTAAGGTGACCCCCCTTCTGCCTGGTCCCACAGCCTATCTGTCCTCCTTCTGTTCCTACCTTCTCCTCTGTTCCCACCTTCCTCGTGGTCCTACCTGTCTCCCCTTCTCAGCCCCACCTCCTCCCTGTCCCATCTTCTTCTGTTCCTACCTTCAACAGTCCTGCCTGTCCCAGAGCCTTTGCACTTGCTGGCCCCTCTGCATGGGACATCCCAGTACCATTCTTCACCTTGCCACCTCCAAGGCATCCTTTGCATTGCAGCCTCCAGGGGACCTCAGAGAGCCGTCTTTCCCCAGGTCACCAGAACGACCCCTGCTCTCGCACAGCACTGTGGACTTTCCCTTTGCAGTATTATCATTTTATGACATTTCTGTGACTGTGTATCTGTACTTGGCTTCCACACTTGCCTGAAGGCCATCAGGGAAAGGACTGTGTTTATTGTTTGTTGCCCAGCACCTAACACACAGGATAAACTCAGAACGCATGTGTTGAATGAAGGAGTATTTATGACTGCAGATGACACATATGTCGCAGCATGCAGTAGGCCAGCCCCACACAGGGATGCTTTCAGGGTGCTGCATTCATATCAGCCATGGTGATCGTTAGAACATAAACGTGCCACCACCTCCCCGACATGCTTAAAAATCTCACCTGGTGTTGCCCTTTGCCTGCTCACTAAGTTTCAGCCACACTGGCCTTTGGTAATGATCAGGTCCCTGAGCATCCCACCCTCTTTCATGACTCAGGGCCTTTGCACATGCTGTTTCCTCCAACTAGAATGCTCTCTGCCCACAATCACTTCCTCGCTAAAACCTGCTTCTTTTGGATCCAGCTGAAATGCCTCTTCCTGGGAGAGAATTTCCCTCATTCCTCAATCTACTAATGTTTTTAAGACATGATTCTCTCTCCGAATGTGGTGTTTTCCTTCACGGCAGGTAGTCTGACCTGGTTTACCTGCATTTAACATCTGCCTTCTGCGTGACACTGTGAGGGCCACCGAGGGCAAACGTCTTGATTCTGCTTACAGTCGAAATACCAGAGCCATTTATCAGCTCATAACTGTTGAGTGCATATCTGTTGCATGAACAAATGAATGACTTGGGAACCTGAGTTCAGGACTTTCCATTTCCCTTATATTTAATGCAGACCTCTTGCACATCAGTTCCTCGTTCATTCTCAAACACAGTCACTGCGAAGTGTTCCAACCGATCTGTGTCCACAAACCTTAACAACACGCTACTGATTTCTAGGCCCAACTAACTGATGAAAACACTACCTAGCAAGGCCAAGGATGAAATCTCATGTGCAGACAGACTTCTCTCCAGGCTGAGCTCTGACTACCTCCTCTTTCCTCCAGCAGTCAGTACTTTTGTGTCTTATTCTTCACCCAGTCACAGGATCCTCTGAAGTTTGTCGTTCAGCCCAAATTCCCCGCTGTGCCAACTACCATGCTTGGCTGTAAATAGTCTTCAACTCCAGAACCCTCTAACCTACCAAGCTGCCTTCTGCTGCTTCTGCAGCACAAGTTCTCCGCAAACTTCAAACTTTTGGAAGTCAGTGCTGCTCCTGCTAAATTTGCAAACTGTCTGTTCTCCCTTTAACCCACTAAGGGCTCACCTGATGAAAACAAGCAGTGGAAACAATACATACTTCACTCGTTAGGTCTGTTGCTTGCCCTTTTGCTGAAAGTTTTCACCTTCGTCTCAGGTTCAAAGGGTTTGTTAACAAAACAAGCCACTTGTTATATACAAATAAATAATATATTTATTAGAGAATTATCTAGCTTACTTTCAACATACTAACATTAAAAGAAAAGAGAAATAGAGCAGAGAATACATCACCAAATTGGGTTTTTGACCAACATCCAGCCTTAATCATTTTTGGGAAGTCCATTTGTGTCACAGCATGTTTGGAGTCCCAATTTGGAAAGGGTCCCAGGCAGCGAGTCCACTATGTGGGTGAGACTTCAAAGCCTGCTATTTGGGGTTCCTGTTTATAATCCCAGGGTGAAGGCAAACTGATATCATCTTCAATCTGTGACCAGACTGCAAGCCTGGCTTCCCTTTAATGCTGTTTTTTTTTGTCTTGTAAAACTTGGAATGTGACTAAGCCTGGGGCTTGGTTGGCCAGGCCCCCCTCCAGGGGCTCAACAATCTCAAGATTTCTCCCCCATTTTATCTATGGTGCTGCAAGTCTTGCACTCACAGCAGCCAGTCACTCCCAGTCACTCCCAGTCAGGGCAGTGTCCAGGCAGGTTATAAGCAAGGTCAGAGGCTGTTCTGCTTTGTCTGTGAAGCCTAAACAAGACTATTTTTATACAGTTCCCTAACAGGCCACCCCAGGATTGTTTAGGCTGAAGAACATTGGAACAAGGCAAAATAACACAACTAGTCTTATTAACTCTATAACTAACAGTATAGAACATATTGTAGGTTTTAGTGAAAACAGTCCATTCACAGTAATTGATGGAGTGTTCCAATAAACAATTCTCAAAGTTGAGAAGTTGGTCCATACAGCAGTCCTTCTGTAGTTTTGCCACAGTCTGTCAGTACAAGGGTGCAGTTATCAAAGTCTAGATAATTTAACCACCTTTCAAGACTGTATGATTTTATGCTTCTGTGGGCCAACAGCAGGGCAGGTGATCACTTGGCTGTTGGCCAGGTGATATTTTTGTGTTACCATTTGGAGATCCATTTGTTTCATTCTCAAAGAAACAAACTTAACAAGAGGACTAAAGATGCATAAAAGTAGAGAAGAGCTGTCTGGGTGCCTAGGAGAAAGTCTAGACAGGAGAATTGGAACCTGACATTGGCACATGATGTTAGAGTTTCTGTAGGTATGAGAAGATGCAAGAGTTTGGGCTCATAAAAAAGAACACATCTTACCTGAAAACATCTGACTATCTAAAGGCCTGTTTTGTCCATTTTTCCCAGAGCATGGATTGAGTGCCTCATTTCTGAGAGCCACCCTGAGTTCTTTTCAAGGGGTGTTGAAGTTCGGCAGTTGTAGTGGCCACGATTTAATCTTTGCACAGGCAGTCTTCAAGTGCCAGTTTTCAGTTGCCAGGGCCCCTTCATAGCCACAGATTTGACTATGCTTTGGGGGCATTTCATGGCCATTGTGTCCCATGGGGCTGGAAAGGCTCATTTCCAGGTCTAGCAGAGATTCCATTGATAGGTCACTCAACATGCTGTTATTGGACTAGGCTCTGTGAATAGCAAGTCTCTGGACCATACCTGTCTTGGTCCAGGAAAATATTCCTTCTTGTTGCTTCTTCCCATATCGAGAGTTATATTATTACAATCATTGATCTCATATGGCAGTATCTATTATCATCAGTTTATCAGTGGGTCAGTCACATACTTGGTAATGGAAGAGACAAAAATTTTC